GGAGACGTCCAGCCAGGAAGCCTTGTAGCGTCACAAAGCACAGGAAGGAACTGGGACAAGGACAAACTGTGGGATAGAAAGCAATGGGACAGAAGGCAATGGGGATTATTCTCCCCCTTGGTTGCAGTCAATTTTTATTCCTGCTATCAGATGAGTTTGGAAATACAGAACAGCGGTATGGGGCGTGGTTGTTTTTATTTTTATTTTTTCCTTTTCCTTTTTTTTTTTTTCCTTCTGAATATTGACAAACTTATCTTTTCTAATGAGATGAGTCAAATTCTGCCATTTGAGGCCAGCCACCAGCTCCAGCTCAAGTCAGTGAGAGTTAACGTTAAGCACGGTACGTGCGCCAAATTCATCCTGCCTACAGGAATTCTGCAGCGATGGCGTAATTCAGTGCAGGCACATGTTGGCCAACGAGACCGCAGATCTCTTGTGACCAGCCTGATTTCCATGTATGCGTATGCTGGCCAAAGATTTTATTTATGTCCATGCTGCTGATACAGTAGGTGTAAATGGGCGTAGCTCCACTGAAGTCACTGGAACGACGCTGGCTGAAGTCACTTGGTGATCTGGGTCCCTATATTCAGAGCGGTTTGCTTTCACACTGAGCACTTCCTATCGATTTAAACCTTTCGTTCTCTTTAGTTTCATTCAGTGGCCGAACACAAAACTTAATGCCACTTTCCCAGCTTTATAACTGACCAAGGCCACTTTTATGTGACCATTACTAAGTTGATTATGCAGCAGCTTCTATGTCGATAAAGCAGCAAACAGCCAAACACTATCAAATAGGGGGGTGACATGATTAGAACCTGACAGACATCAATTAGAACTAATTGGGATTATATATAGACATTCGCTTAACGTTCAATTTACAAAGGGCCTGATCAAAAGTCTCATGTAGTCAATGCAAAGGCTCTGGATCAGCCCCAAGTCGAATCAATAAATCAGGAGGAAAGTTTGGCAGTGCTTCTTCCCGGTATGGGTAGTTTGCTGGTGATGTGCCATCCCGTTCGCACGCTTTAGTTCTGTATTTATGAATCAAGTTGCTATGTGGTCATTTTGATCAGCGGGTGTTCAGCAACTGTACGCATTAGGCGTTAACTGGTGTTCAACAGCCATGGGGGAGTAATGGGGTAGCTTCACAGAAGTTCATGCAATGCAGTGTGCTTTGCCTTGTCTCAGTACGGAAAGCTAGCTGCACGATAGTTATCAGAGTGGACGACTAAGGGCTATTCCTCCCTTCCGGCTAAGCTGAGCTGAACCAACTTACCTGGCAGCAGAGCCAACAGCACTTAAGAGTTAGCTTCCCTTGCATTCTGCATTGCATGCAATGTTGTCATACAGAAATGGCACTCATTAACACCCAGCTCTAAAATGCGTCTGTCATAAAGGATGAAGAAGGTTCGGCATACCGTATCTATAGTCAGAGGCCATGGTACGCTGCTGAGACCATGTCTTATGTCCACCAATGCTGCGATAATAAGCTTCTTCTTTTACAGGTGAAATATTTCCCTCACTACCTGACCGAGACCGACCGCCTTCACTGTTACTGTCCATTGTAATTTCTATGGAGAAAAAGGGAATGATCTATTAAACATACTTTACAGTCTTCTCAGGGGAGGCTCCTGAAGGCAGCCTTTGCCTTCCTTCTCGTCAGACTCAGATATAGCAGGATGGCTAACCACCGTGTCAGCCTTGCCTACTCGGTTTTAGATTTCACCCTCCAGGGATTCTTCTCCAGCAAAGGAACACAGAAATGGGCATCTCCTTTTTACGGGCTTTGCCTCCGTGCTTTAAAAATCTCTACAGATTTCTGGGGCTGAAACCAGACTTCTGGAGGCCGAGACCAACTCTGACCTGTGGTGGTACCAGCTCCGCCACTATGGGTCCTGGTCCAGGATTGGAGCTCCCAGGATCTACCGTCATAGGAATAAAAGTATGCCCCACTTCGGGCAAGATTAAAAGCAAATAAAACGTAATTTTTCTTTGGCAAAAATTACTTCAAAAATGGAATTAAGGTGACAACTTGCAGGGACTTCCTGCTTTCAGAGAGATTTAATATGAAAAATATCTACTTAAAAGACAGACTGAAATGAATTTAAGGTTAACGGTATTCTGGACAACAAAAAAAAGTTATTTTGGAAATGTTTACCCTAAAGGATCACAAGTTTGGAGTTCTTCCCTGATAATTATACCTCCTGGACCTGCTTTAGCACTTTCATGGACTTCCTGTCAGTTTAACTCATGCAGACAAATTACCTCGATATCTGAAAATCCCAGCTCGTGCCAGAGGGTATTAACTACAAGGTTGACTGACTTGGAGCTAATCTTCAAGAAGGAAGGGAGGAGGTAGGTAGCTGTGTTTTTCTGAAGTCAGGCCAAAGGCAGGGTAAAGGTGTACCTTGTAGAGCACCTGAATCAGAGATGCACGCACTTCTGTAAGCAACAGTCTGTACTACTTCATCACTTCTGATGAGATGAGCTCACGAAAGCTCGTGCATCTCCGGTTCAGTCTATGCGATGCACCTCTACCCTGCCTTCTTCAACGGGGAAGTAAATGCTGAACAGTCAAGTCCCGGGGAAACATTTTTGAGCTAAGAATAACACGGTGACACTTGAGGGATGTGGAATAAATCCAAAACGTTTCCAAGGCAAGAAACTGTTATTCTGCAAGGAAATCAGTACTGATCAATGCAGAAAGCCACATTCTTTGGGCCTCAAGTGGAAAAAGCAGCACTGAAGTCAACAGGAGATCTTTTTTCTCTTTAAATGCTGTAGAGTTGGCCTACCTTTATGCCATTTATTTTTCCTAGGACTGCCTTTTTGATAACAGAGCTGTAATACCAGCTTTATTCAGGGGACAATCCCATCCTGGGCCTCACTCAGGCCCTTCAGCAGTCGGTAGGAGTTTTGGCTCTATTTCCTGCTTGTCTGAGTGAGGACAAGTGATCAAGTCAGTGCCATGCTCTGAGACATGGTTTGGCTGGACTTTCTGGGTTTGGTCAATAGATTTATTGACTGTTTTCTGCTCTGTACTTTTCCTGAAACAAACCTGCAGAAGGGAAGGGTGATTCTTTTGTGAGCCTGCCCTGATTGACCAAGGATGTCCTGGTTGTGGTTTATTATTACAACATCCACTTGGTGCAACTTGCAGCAATTTTCAATAGCTAGCTAACTGGCTATGTTTACTGGATGCTCTGCTGAAAGAAAACCAGGCTATTCAGACCCTGTAGCTACTAACCCGTCGCTTCATATTGGTTCTAGTCCTGCAATCACAGTTAGAAACCTGTGCTTTTTATTTCAACATTTCAGTCTAATGTATTTCATGGTGTATAAATTGAGTTTGGAAGCCACATTTTTAACTCTTGAAATTTAACCTCAATTTATATGCCGTCCCTTGCAAGCAGCACTGCCTGGACCCCCCTGGGAGTTCAGACAGCACATGGCCTGCTGGCACCACCCCCAGCCAGCCCCGGGGGGGGGGGG